AGGGTTCGGATCCCATGTGAAGACCGGTTCCCGCTCACTGGCTGAGCGTGGTGCGGGCGCAGCGCCCAGGGTTGCGATCTCGTTGCCGGTCCCTGGTACGGGCGCGACACCGAGGGTTGCGATCCCGTTACCGGTCAGTAAAAAAAAGACAAAAAGGAAAAAAAAAAAATGAGTGGGAGAAAATTCTGCAAAACGTACACATCTGACAAAAAACTCAATCCATAACGTGTAAAGAATTCTACAAATCAATAATAACATTAACAGAAAGACAAAGCCATAAAACCCCGCCTTTGTGTTTCCTGCGGCTGACTTTGTACAAAGAGCCCTCTGGACACCTTCTGAACGTGGTGCTGCTTATTGGAGACCGATTCCCAGAAGCGGATTCCAGACAAGGAAGCCAGACCAGTCCTCATGGCTCTGCCTCTGTGCAGAGAAAACAAAACCACAGCCACCCCCTCCCTGCCTCTCGCACCCTCAGCGGTCCCTTCCCAGACGCCACTGGGGTGGCATCGCTGGCAGGGGGAGGGGCGCACGGCCGGGATGGCATCGCGGGCAGGGGAGGAGGCGCACGACCGGGTGGCATCGCGGGCAGGGAAAGGGGCGCACGGCCGGGGTGGCATCGCGGGCAGGGGAAGGGGCGCACGNGTGGCATCGCGGGCAGGGGAGGGGGCGCACGACCGGGTGGCATCGCGGGCAGGGGAGAGGGCGCACGGCTGCGGGCACCACCGATCCTAGACGGCGCCGCTCCCAGGTGTGTCCCGGGAGCGTCTGAGGACTCTGTGTGCAGGCGGGGGGCTGCGGCCCAGGGCGCGGCCTCGGGGTCAGGCCACCCGCTCGCCTTCTCCTCGTCGTTCTAACGGGCGATCGCGCTTGGGACCCTCCTGCCAGGGCTGCGCGGGACTCGGGGAGATTCCACCTGCCATAACCCGCGCCATGATCCCCGCGCGGCCGCGCCGGGCCCAAGCTGGGCTTCGTCTCCGGGGGCGTGGCCTTATCTTGGGGCGTGGCTTCGTCTTCGGGGCGTAGCCTTACCTTTGGGAGTGGCTTCGTCTCCGGGGCGTGGTCTTATCTTGGGGCGGGGCTTCGTCTCCGGGGCGTGGTCTTACCTTGGGGCGGTGCTTCGTTTCCAGGGGCGGGGTCTCGTCCCGGCGTGGAGGGGCTCGGAGCCGCGCTCTCCCGCGCCGCTCTCCGATTGGCCAGCGCCCGCGGGGCATTGTGGGCCGCTGCGCTCGCGCCGCCGTTGCCGCCGCTGCCCGGGCCTCGCCATGTCCGGCTCCCCCGTGAAACGCCAGAGGATGGAGTCCACGCTGGACCAGCTCAAGCAGCTCACCACCGTGGTGGCCGACACGGGCGACTTCCACGGTGAGGCGGGCGCGCGGCCCGGGCAAACGCGCCTTCCGCCCGCCGAGGCGCCTCCAATTCCGGGACGCGGACCCTGTGGCGCGGCCGGGGACGGGGGCGAGTGGGGTCGGTTGTGGGGCCGGGGTCAGAGGTGAGAGGGGAGGCCTGCGGGGCCGGGGTCAGAGGTGAGGGGTGGCCTGCGGAGCCTGGGTCAGAGGTGAGGGGAGGCCTGCGGGGCAGGGGTCAGAGGTGAGGGGAGGGCAGCGGGGTCGGAGGGGAGGGGAGGCCTGCGGGGCCGGGGTCGGAGGTGAGGGGAGGCCTGCGGGGCCGGGGTCCGCTGCGTCCCAGGCGCGTGTAGTGGCGGCGAGACCGCGGCGCGGCCG